AATCACGAGAAATAAAACCATAAAACCTTTTTTTTTTTAAGGCTTTAAGGTTTGGAATACCCAAAATAGCCAGCCAACATCCTTCCCATCTGTATGCAATGAGTTGCAGCCTCTCTTCCGCAAAGGCTGTAGAGAGAGACACCCTTCCTAAACATCTGAACGTACTGTTTTCTGCCTTTTGCATTTTTGTAGGGTCAGTTCTTTAATGTACAAATATTTATGGCGCACTGTGTGCTAGAAACTGTGGAAGGCACTACAATAGCATAGGATCAAAATCTGAATCTACTTGACTCCTGCTTCTCTATCTGGTGTTGGCCAGTGGTGTGAATTTTCATTTACAGTGACTAGTTCATTCTTTGCTTTCTTTTCAAATACATTAAACATTTCCCTTATTATTTCTGGCCCACATGGTTGAAATAGCCTCCTTGTTTCTAATTCCTCCTCCTCCAACCGTCCTGCAAATCTCAAGTCAGTGACTCGCTATTTCCCTGCCATTTCCCTGCCTCACATAGCTGAGCCTCTGAGGCTCATGGGAGAGGTGGTAGCGGTGAGGAGGAGGTACCCTAGACATCTAGGGAAACATCCAGAAGACTTAAAAGGTAGGCACTTTTCCCAGATATTTTATTGCCAATCTTTCTGGTGGGCTTTCTCCTCCTCCAAAGATTTAGAAATAGTAATAATAATAATTTTGGCCTTACCTGGGCCACTTGAATTGCTCCATGGGAGTGGGGCCTGGATTTAGGTTTCATTTTATTGTGCCCCAGGTGACTCTAATGTGAAGCCAAAATTGAGAACTGCTGTCATCGATTTGTGATACTTATAAATGGTCTCTGCACCAGCAGCAGCCACATTAGCTAGGAATTTGTTAGACATGCACATTCATGGGGCCTGCTTCAGACCTAATGAACCAGAAACTCTGAGGGTAGGACCACTCACTTTGTGTTTTAATAAGCTCTCCAGTGCTTTTTGTGGATATTAATAGAAGAGAAACACTTTACTAGATAAATCTTAGTTCCATTCTAGGTCTCAAAAGCACAACTAAATTTGGGAAGGGTGTTTGTTATTTGAAAGTTGCTATACAGTATTGACATGATCTGAATCAATTGGTAAGGGATATAAACTGGCATACTAAGTGTCTTGCTAGTGATCATTTGGGTACTTCTCAGATCTCTAAAGAGTAGTTCAAGGTATTCTTTATTATTTTATTTTTCGATTACAGTTTGGATTCAACAGTATTTTGTATTACTTTCAAGTGTACAACAGAGCAGATAGACATTCATTTGGTTATAAAGTGTCTCCTTCAATAATTCAAGTGCCCACCTGGCACCATAGATAGCTTTTACAGTGTTGTTGACTATAGTCCCTATGCTTTCCCTTAAATCCCCAGGACTATTTTGTAACTGTTAGGGTCGCCAAAGGAGGTGTGCATGAGGCCAAAACACATAAAGAATTATGAATTTCTTAGGTCATCTGGAAAACAGATGGGCTGAGCCCCAAATGTGCCAGCACCCAGGAACGGGGAGTCAGAGATTTTAAAGGATTCTAGGCGGACTTTTTCAGTAGGGAATTCTCTGAGCAGGTCCAGATCCTGGGCAAGTCCAAAAGGCAAAGTTACTGGTCTTAGTAAATGGAATGTGGTCTAAGCAAAAGGGCAAGTCCATTGCAAAATGATCTAAAGGTCATTTTCCTAGGGGAGGAGGTATGAATTCCATCAGTTGATAGACCTAACAGTAACTATCAATTAGTGCTCCTTAAATCGCATCACCTTTTTTCACCTTATCCCCCAAAACTCCTCTCAAGGGGTTATTTAAAATAAAGGAGCAAATTTATCAGGGATACTGATGCTTTGTTTCCCAGAGAGAGAAATCAAAGAGGTGAACTTAAATTTCAGTTAGCTATATGATCGACCCAAGAAACATCTTGAAGTAGTACTAAACATTTTGAAGGGATATAAGACTTTTAAATCAATTTTCAGTGAGAGTAAGAAGACAAAAACCCCATTTTGAATTGTTTAGCTATAGCCCTGCCTGGGGTCAAAGAACAGGGATCTTTGAAGTATCCGCCAGTTCTTAGCATACAATGACTCTAAATACCATCTGATCATCATTTGTTTATTTTGTCACTGGTTATTTTGGAAATGCTTTCAAAGTAAAGTAAGGACTAGTGGAAAGTAAAGATGCCTAACTTGAGTGTTGTTGTTCCAGTCTGAGAGACTTTGGGGTGAGATTGTCAAATGAAATTCATGTGCTTTGAAAAGTTTTTATGATTTTTTAATGAGGTTTAAAAGCTAAAGGAATGGGATTAGGACCATAAAATCCTTTACTCTTAACATTGTTTCTTTGAACTGATTTAGTGCATTTGTGTATTAGAAATAGAGATCTGATTTGGATTGAATCCTCATTGTTTGCAATAATACCGTCTGGAAAAAATTTCCTAGACACAGAAATGGTATTGCATTTTGTAATGACAAAGGACAGCTATGCTCTAGCTCTCCAGTTAAACACTTCAATGAGAAAAATTAACATCAGTTAATATATCGGAAGGCTTGAGACTTTTCATACATCATTACATTCAGATGTTATTTATTTATATATTTACTCTTAGATCAATGGAAAATGTTTAGTAGGGGAAAATGTTAGCTGAGAAAGTAGATTATATAATCTGTGATTGGAGACATGGCAGAAAACTGTACATTTGCATCCTTGTTTTTCAAAAGATTGTAGTAGAACCCAGTTGCAGTGCAGATGTGGGGATAAACTGGTATCTTCATCAGTTGGGGCTGCTGTGACAAACTACTATATAAACTGGGTGACTTAAAAAACATGTATTTCTCACAGTTCTGGAGGCTAGAAAGTCCAAGTTCAAGATGCATTGTGTCTGATGAGAGCTCACGTCCTAGTTCATAGACAGCCACCTTCTTGCTCTGTCCTCATATGGTAGCAGGGCAAGAGAGCTCACTAGGGTTCCTTTTATAGGCACACTACTCCCATCCAGGTGGGCTTCCCCTCAGGACCTAATTACCTCCCAGAGGCATCACCTCTACCACTATCACATTGGGGGCTACGTTTCCCACGTGGTGGGGACACAAATATTCAGTCCATTGCAGTTGAAAAAGACAGTTAAATATTCAGCTTTTCCTTTAGCGTTTGAGAGAACCAAGACTGGTATAGTAAATGGATTGAGTGAGACAGTGTGGTCTGGTGGACAAGGCTTGAGATTTGAGTCTGAGGACCTAGGTTCTTGTTTATATCTATTTCTTCCTGGTTTTGTCAACTGGTAATGTCTTTGGGCCTGCCTTATTTTCTATGTTTATAAAATATGAAAAATAATATTTATCACAATATGAAAAATTATATTTATCTCAGTGGCTTATTGTAAGCATTACACAAATTAATATGAATGAAAGTTATTTGAAACTAGGAAACTAGATAGTAGATTATTATTAATAATAGATTTTTATTTGCTCTTTTATTGACAAGGGACTCATCAAAGGAAATCTGCATTTGAGGAAAAGTTTATAATTCTTAAAAAAACAGTTCTTTACAGATAATTTTCAGTTAGAATAAGTATGGTGAACCTGAAGTGAGTTATCGTTCTCTGACAGACTGGTTACAGTAGTTTCTCACTATGATTATTTAAAAATATTACTATAGGTGGAGATTTGTATTTCTCTGCTTTCATAGAAATATTGTGTTTAAAGTAGAAAATGTGTTTGCAATATTTTGTAAAAGCTGTATTGTATGCCAGAAATCTCATCATGGCTAAATAGCATTTTGGAATGATGCACTAATTACTTTTCTGGCACATTACAGATGCAGTACAATGGGAGAATATGTAAAATGTTTCACACACCAAATATCTTTATCATGCTTGCTGCACATAAATGCAGGTGTATATCGTATGCTGTAAGCCTTTGAAAAATGTGAATGAGAAAGTCATGGCCCGGTGGTGCTAACCATGAATTAGTATACAGCTCGTTTGTCATACACACCAACTGTGCTCTCTGGCCTGCAAAATAACTTGATACTGGTTAGTAATTACTAAGCAGGCTTTACACATACACTGGTAAATCCAATGTAACTTTCAGATATGTCCATTTTTTTTATCTTTGAAAAATGTCAGGGAAGCAAGATTATTGCTAAAAAATATCTGAAATACTGTTTGGGGTCAGTGAGTGGATTTCAGGTATTTAATAAACCATATTAAATGAGGATCATATCTTCAGGGCAAATATCAAATGTATACTAACCTTCCCAGCAACATTCAGAGGTTATATAGGCACTAAAATTTTTCACACCGAATTTAAAAAATTTTTGTTTTAGAATGTTGTCACATTTCAAATTCATTAATGCATATGTAATTTAAACTATTGCAAATGATTATTTGAAGAAGATACTAAGAATGGCTTTTATTAATCCTCAAAGGTAAAAAAATGAATATAAAAGGGTAACTACATTTAATAAATATCATAATTTCAGAGAAATTTAGCCGTATGTCTGAGCTGTGTCTTAAAAAGTTATTTATTTGTGACTATTTCTAATGAAATCAGTAGGCTAAGTTTTAAGTGTTGAGTCCTCATTTGGACAGATGTGTGGTTTTAAATCAGAGTGCAGAAATTACAAGGTCTGGCAGGACATCTGATAAATGCAAGCAAGACCAAACTGTATGAGGACTAAGTGAGGGAAACTAACATATGTAGATTGGTTGGGAAAAGCTAAGTGTTCATCAATGTACTGTAGACACGGGATTTTAAATCTATTATGCCTAAATTTCTGTAGAAAAATTTCTGTCATTTAAGGGAGTTCCGGGAGTGAGTATGATCTGATCTGTGAGTGAGATTCTGTATATATAGCTTTGCCAAGATGTGCCACAGTGTGGAAAGTGAACTGATTTATGAAAATTTACTTCTAATATTTTTTGATGGAGAAGTTCTGTGAATACAGTATCTCAATTTTTTTAAGTAATTGCAGCTATTTCAAGATATCTGTGCTTTCTCATAGAATGAAGACAAACACAGAGATGGTGTTTCTAAGAAATTTTAAAAGGTGTAGGCCTCCTGATTGAAGCATTGTCAAATTATTGGAATCATTTTTTTATTGTTGTAAGTATAAATATTTGAAATATGTTATTTTGGTCAATGTTGGCTTGTGTTCTTTGTCGTATTCATTCTCTGTCAAATACCATTGTCATTGTTAGAGCTGTTTAAGTTTATCTTCTCCTGCAACTTCAGTTGCATAATTGAATTAATTTAACTCAGGACCCTTTAAAAAACAAAGTCACGACCTTTGAGCTAGAAAAGCCCTTAGAGATGCTCTGGTTCATACTATTCATCCATTACAAGGAATTCCTTTGTGGTATCTCTAACAGATGATCATCTTATTCATCTAGTCCAGATTGGGGAATGTCCAACCCACAGGCCATGTAAAGCCCACGAAATCATTTGATCTGGCCCTGCCAGGGCAATAGGGGTGAGTTAATTAACTATTTGACCAAATATAACAGGCTAATTTTTAAGATGATAATTTTATATGGCCCACGAATAATGTTATAAATATCCAAATAGCCCTTGGCAGGAAATAGGTTCTCCACCCCTGATCTAGACCCTGGTAGGGAGAAGGGCTGAACTGTTTCACACAATTCCCAGTTCTATGGATGTTCCACCACAAATTGAATCAAAATATGATTTTCTGAAATGGCCCCCACCTAGTTCTGCTTCTAGAGGAAACCCACTTATTCTTTCATCAAATAGTCATGCAAAAATGTGAAGAAATTATCAAGTTTCCCTACTCATTTTTGTTGTTTTATTTTTCAATTACAGTTTACATACAATATTATTTTGGTTTCAGGAGTACAGCATAGTGGTTAGTCATGTACTTTATAAAGTGATCCCCCTGATATTTCCAGTACCCACCTGGAAACATATTTAGTTATTACAATATTATTGACTATATTTCCTGTGCTGTACTTTACATCCCCACGACTGTTTTGTAACTACCAATTTGTACTTCTTAATCCCTTTACCTTTTTTACCCAGTTCCCCAGTCCCCCTCCTGTCTGGCAGCCATCAGTCTGTTCTCTGTATCTATAAGCCTGTTTCTGTTTTGTTTATTTATTTTTGTTCTTTACATTCCAGTGTAAATGAAATCATACGGTATTTGTCTTTCTCTGACTCATTCATTTTACCTGGCATAAGACTGTCTACGTCCATCCATACTCTCCCAAATGATAAGATGTCATTATTTATTTATGATTGAGTAATATTCCATTGCATATATGTACTACTGCTTTTGTATCCACTCATCTATAGATGGGCACTTGGGATGATTACATATGTTGGCTTTGGTAAATAATGCTGCAGTGAACATAGTGTTGCATATATTCTTTCGAGTTAGTGTTTGGGGTTTCTTTAAATATATAACCAGAAGTGGAATCACTGGGTCATAAGGCAATTCCATTTAAGTTTTAGGGAAACCTCATACTATTTCTCATAGTGGCTGCACCAATGTGCATTCCTACCAACAGTGGATGAGGGTTCCTTTTGCTCCACATCCTCACCAACACTTGTTCTTTGTTGATTTATTAATGCTAGCCATTCTGACAGGTGTGAGATGGTATCTCAATGTGGTTTTAATTTTCAATACTCTGATGGTTAGAAATATTGAATATCTTTTCATATGTTATTAGCCATCTGTATGTCCTCTTTGTATAAGTGTCTATTCAGGTCCACTGCCCATTTTTTAATTGGATTGTTTGTTTTTTTGGTGTTGAGTTATATGAGTTCTATACAAATTTTGGATATTAACCCCTTATCAGGTGTAACATTGGTGAATATCTTTTTTTAATTTTTAAAAATTATTTATTTTGTTATTCCTCAACTGAGGATATTTGTTCCATTGATTTTTAGAGAGAGTTTAAAGGAGGAAGGGAGGAAAGAAAAAGAAGGGGGAGAGAGAGAGACAGAGAGAGAGAAATATGAGAGAGACAGATTAGTTGCCTCCCACACGTGCTCAGGGCTGGGGATCAAACCTGCAACCCAAACCCATGACCCTTCAGTGCACAGGCCACCACTCTAACCACTGGGAACATCAGCCATCAATATTTATTTTATATGTCCATCAATATTTACTTTATATATTTAGGTCCTCCTATGTTGGGGGCATAAATGTTCGTAAGGGTTATATCTCTTGTTGAATTGATCCCTTTGTCATTATGTAATGTCCTACCCCACCTTTTTGTGTTTCTATTTGCATGATATTCTTTTTCCATCTCTTTACCTTCAGCCTGGGTGTGTCTTTTGTTCTGAGGTGAGTCTCTTATAGACAACACTAGAGGCCCGGTGCATGACATTCGTGCACTCAGGGGTCAGGGGGTCCCTCAGCCCAGCATGTGCCCTCTCGCAGTCTGGGAGCCCTCGGGGGATGTCCGACTGCTGGCTAGGCCCACTCCCCATAGGACTAAGCTGGCAGTCAGACAGCCTTAGCATTGTTGCAGAGGTGGGAGAGGCTCCTGCCACCGCCACTGTGCTCGCCAGCCATGAGCCCGAGTTCTAGCTGAGCAGTGCTCCCCCTGTGGAGTGCACTGACCACCAGGGGCAGCTCCTGCATTGAGCGTCTGCCTCCTTGTGGTCAGTGTGTGTCATAGCGACTGGTCATTCCGCATTCAACTACTCTAGGGCCTTAGAATGGACTATTCAATCCATGTACATTTGAAGTGATTCTTTATTGCCATTTCATTCTTTTCAATTATGTTTCTTTTTTCTTCATCTTCTTCTTAAGCCCCTTAAATATTTCTTGGGATTACTGGTTTGATTATAATGAACTTCTTTAGCTTTTTCTTGTCTGAGAAGCTCTCCTTCAATTCTAAATGATAGCCTTGCCGGGTAGAAGAGTCTTGGTTATAGGTCCTTGCTTTTCATTACTTTGAGTATTTTGTTCCAGTCTCTTCCGGCCTGAAATGTTTCTATTGATAAATCAGCTGACAGTCTTATGGAAGCTCTTTTGTATGTAACTAACTGTCTTTTTCTTGTTGCTTTTAAGATTCTCTCTTTGTCTTTTACCTTTGCCATTTTTATTATGTTGTGCCTTGGTGTGGTCCTCTTTGGGTTCATCTTGTTTGGGACGCTCTGTGCTTCCTGTATGTCTCTTTTCTTCACCAGGTCAGGGAAGTTTTCAGTTATTATTTCTTCAAATAGATTATTGATCTCTAGCTTACGCTGTTCTCATTCTGTTACCCCTATGATGCAGATGTTGTTGCTCTTCATGTTTTCCCAGATCTTTAAACTATCTCACTTTAAAAACTGGGGTTTTTTGTTTTGTTTTTTTTGTTTTTGCTGCTCTGATTGGGTATTTCCTGATACCTTGTCTTTCATATCACAAATTCTATCCTCTGCTTCATCTAATCTGCTATTGATTTCTTCTAGTGTATTCTTCATTTCTGGTTCTTTTTTTTTCTTTTTTCTACTGAAATAGAAACAAAACATCTTTACAGGACCTCGAATCAGATTGCTATAGAGATAGGGAAGGGCTTCCTCCACGGAAAGAATTCCTCTCCATTTAAAAAAACAGAGTGAAAGGTGACAGAGTGTCAGGAATCTAAAAATGCTATATTTTAGAAACCGAAAAAAATACTCAAGAAAGTTGTCTCTGCAAAATAAAACCCAGACCTCCTGCTTATAAGGCTAACCTGGAAGCTGGATCACCTTACTAAGCAAATAAATGTTCTCTTCTCAAATGTATTTTGCAGAAAATTGTCATTATACTTTTGGCAATTATTTTTAGTGTTAATCTTCACCCAAGGATATTTTTTCATTGTTTTTTAGAGTGAGTAGAAGGGAGGGGGATTGACACAGAGAGAGAAACATCAGTGTGAGAGCACACATTGATTGGCTGCCTCCTGCATAGCCTCTACCAGAGGTTGATCCCAGAACCCCAGCATGTGCCCTGGACTGGGAATCGAACTGGCAACCTCCTGGTAACCAACTGAGCACACCATCCAGGGCAGCAAAATTTTTTATTACATAGTAATGTCTCTGGGAGGGATGAGCATTACGTTGAGAATTTACCAAATAACTTCTTAAGAAATGATAAAGGTGGAGCTCTATGACCCAGAAACTGGAAGATGATGGGTCAAGGTATGCCTACCTTGCTGTCTGCTTAGGATTACCCTCACCTCAGATAGGACTAATTTTAAATAACCATTGGCAGCATTTCAGAGCTTTCTCACATTCTTTTTGTTGTTGTTTTTTTCTTTTTCCCTTTTCTCCCTTACCTACTCCTCTTCCTCTATTCCAGCTGCACTTAGATGTTTTTGCATAATGCAATTGAAGGCATGGAGTTTGGGTCGGTGGGGGGCTTCAGGCCACAGAAAGATAAGCATTAACTGGGTGGTTTTGGCAAGTAACCACTATTTGCCTTTGTGTCCTCACCAATAAAATGGAGATCTCTATTTTCTTTTTAAGTTTTTATTTATTGATTGGATTTGAGAGAGAGAGAGAGAGAGAGAGAGAGAGAGAGAGAGAGAGAGACAGACATTGATTTGTTGTTCCACTTGTTGACACATTCATTCATTGGGTGTTTCTTGTATCTGCCCTGACTGGGGATGCTCTAACCAACTGAGCTATCGGGGCAGGGTGAGATCTCTATTTCTTAATGCAGCTATAAGACTAAACAAGCTGATTTAACACAATGAATGTAATACATTAGGTGCTCAGTAAGGTCTTGTTCTCTTCTTTACCCTTTCTTTTTCTCTGCTGACTTCCCTGCTTCCCTTCCTCTTTCCAGCGTCCAAAGATCTAGCAAACAAATGATCATTCCTCTGGGATGATATCATAGCACATCACTGAAATTCAGTTTCACTGGGGCAAAGCCATAGACAAACAACCAGCATTAATGTTTCTTCTCCACTTTGAGAGGACTTTGAGGGACTAGAGTTCCTGACCACCTCGCTGAGAGCCATGACTGTGGGATCTGTGGATCGGGGAGCAGTTTCCCAGGTGAACAGTGCCGGGAGCCAATCACAACCCCAAATTGAGGTGTTCCCATCAGATGGAATCGTCCCCTTATCTGGTCTTCCAGTCCTGGGGGACAGGAAAAGAGGAAAGGT